AGGAAATGGAGGGAATAGGAAGTCGAGCAAAAATAGGGAAAGGGATTTGGGTTGTGGAGTTGTGGCCTTCACGGCGAATGTTTGTTAGAAGTGGCGGTCGATCTTCGTCCTAAAAAATAATATAATAGTGCATAAAGTTCTTATAGGTTTAATAGTGACTTGTGTTGTTTGTCTTCTTTTTGTTGTTATTTTCGTTATTATTTTATCAGTTTTTTTTCCTCTTTGTTTAGGTTTTCTTTTTGTTTTCGGTCTGTGTTGCTAGTTTTTTTAGGTTTTATGTTTTCCGCTTGTGTCTGATTTTTTGCATGTCCTGAGCCATTATTCTGAGAGTTTCCAGCAGACTGTCGCCGAGCAGACCTCACACCCATCACCGAGCAGACGAGACAACCCGTCGCCTAGGCTTCTCGCATCATCGCCTAGCATAGCGCGCAACGCAGCCCGTATATCGTGCGCAACACAACTCGCACATGTAGTCTTCTTCACCGCGGCACGCGAAGGATTCTTGTGGCCACGCAGGCAGTTTTCTTCACCGCGGCTGCATAATACTTCTGCGCCTGCGAGCCCGCAACCATGGAGGTTGTTGCAGTCGCGGAGTGCTACTTCTTCGCGACCCGTGGAGGCGGCAATTTCAGTTCTTTAAATTTTGAATTTTATGCTGGTTTTTGGGGGGTATTTAAGGGGATCTTATCGAACCCTAAGAGAAGAATTCCAAACTTCGTATTTTCACTTTTGCTCACCTTTGAATCACTTTTCGTTTTCTTGGAGTTTGATCTTGGAGAGTGACACTCCAAGGATCGTGTTAGAATTTTGGCTTGTAATTCGAGATTGTCGCTCAACATTCGATTTATTATAAGCTTTCCTCTCCACTTAGACTATGGATGTGATTTGTTTTGTTGATTCTTTTATTGTGATTAATTTTGACACGTCTAGCTAAATTCGCTCGCTAGTAATAAGGGATAATTTTTTGTGTTCGTATGATTGTCATACTTGGTTAATCGTTCAAGCTATGCGAGTTATGTTACAACTAGGGTTAGATGATTGATCTTGTATCTCGACTCTCAGAACCAAAAGGAGATGAGTTACTCGACCCAAACTCATATAGAATAGGCTTGTTCGTAAATGCAATGCCTATGTGTTGTTTGGTTTGATTGATTTGTTGTATATGTTTAACCTCTTGTTACGAAAAGTTATTGGGGTTGAATATCTGGGCGTGTAGGTTAAGAGAATCATTCAATCGAACATTTGATTGTCTGATATGTACTTTTAGAATTAAGAATGATTATCCTAGCTTCTTCATTGTTATCTGAATCTTGTTGAAGTTGAAAATTGAGTTATGTCGTTTGGAATCTTTCGTTGTTAATCAAAAACCAAATTGACTTAGAGTGTTTAGGAATTTATTTTCTCTTTTTGTGTTTGAATAATCGCACGGAATAATCCGACTAGCCTTTCCTACGATACGACATAGGGATTGAATCTTTCGATTTGACTCCTATAAAAAGAACTACAACAAAATGACGTCGTTGTCGGGGAAGGCTTAGGACTTATTTTGTGCTCCTATTCTGTTTGTTTTTCGTGTTTCTCTTTGTTTCTTGTGTTTTGTCTACTTGTTATTTTATTTTTCGTGATTTTCAGTTGTTTTTGTTGAATTATTTCTTTTGTTTATCTAGTGCTCGTGACCTTCCTTGTTGTTTTTGTTTATGCATACCAGGAGTGGATGCGTTATTTTCCCGAGCGACAATTCCACTCACGAGAACTTGAGGGATCTATTGCCTAATCTTCTTTCTGAATCTTCTGAATCACACAACCAAATCAACATGGAACGAAATGAACAGCATGTCGAGAACCAACCCCCTTGCTACCCTCTTCGTGATTTGAGTCAACTAGTGACTAGGCCGGTGACCTCATGCATTCTGTTAGGACCGGCGGCTCAAAACTACGAGCTTAAGATAATCAACTACAACTAGCTCCAAGCTTTTCATGGTCTCTCAAATGAAGACCCGCTTCATTTTATCTTGGATTTTACAATGTTCTCCAGACGTTTTCGCTTCATGTGCTGAATGAGGACCAATTAAAAATGTGGTGCTTCCCAGATACTCTAAAGGACCGGGCCAGAGCGTGGTTTATGACTCTTGCTCTTGATTCCCTCATCACATGGAAGCAAGTCTACTCGAAGTTCATTGGGAGGTACTACTTCCATTAGAAGACACAAGAGCTCCGGTCCCAACTTTTCTCCTTCACCCAGTTTGAAAATGAGCCTCTTCATGAGGCCAGGAAGAGCTTCAAGAACTTTCATAGGTGGTGCCTGCACCATAACCTCACACCGGGCTATTGGTGAATTGTTTTTATGACTCTCCACCAGAACCTTCAGTATATGGTGAACAACATAGCAGTAGGGATGTTGGGTCACGCCCGACAGATGAGATGATGGAGATATTTGAGACGATGAGCACTAACTCGTCTACAAAATGCATTCGAGGGAAAAAAGACCATGGTGAATGAAATATCACCCGGTCAAGACGTAATAGCCCAACAAATAGCTGAGCTCACGGAGTAAATTGGCTACTTAACGTAAGAAGAGTCAAGCCAATGCAAACCATGGCTATTGATGGGCGTGTGGAGTCAAAGGCATAGGTCAACGGTATGCCCTTTGGCATTCATGCAAGACTTCGACGAGCAATATGCGTACGCCAATGCTTTACAGGGATACCAGAACCAGCTAGACAATGACCCTTCTCTAATACGTACAACCCGCGGTGGGGAAACCACCCAAACTTCTCATTGTCCAACAACAACAATGTCCGACAACCTCGACCGAATTTCATCCAGCAACAACTCTGACCTAACTTTATTCCCAAACAACTGATGAGGTCGATTAATTATCCTCAACAACAGCTGCAACAACAACAAAGGGGTCCAATGGTTGGAATGCAAGCACCGGAGTCAGGTCTGAGCTTATCTAATCAGGACGACAAACTATACATGATTCTTCAGTTTCTGGCTAACAGCGAGCAGCGAGATTTGAATAACGAGACGCCCATCAAGCACCTCGAGACACAGACGGGCCAACTAATTACTAGAATTGGGAACATGGAGCCAATTCGGACAAAGAAAAGTTGCCTAGCCAGCCCGAGCAAGATTAGGCAATAACAGTGTTGAGAAGTGGGAAGGTAGTCGATCCATTCTAAAGCCAATTGATGACCCAGAAGAAAGAGAGGAATCGAGAAAAGAGAAGGAGAGAGTGGAAACTGATTCAGAGAAGTTAACAGACGATTATGCCTTGGATAAGTCTCTAAACCCATAAAAACTGTGTATTCCTTTCCTGGGTTGACTTCAGGACGAGAAGCAAGAGAAGCAGTTATGAAACCTCTACACCATTCTCTCAAAGGTCAATGTGAATTTGTCGCTTCTCGATGTGATCAAGAACATGTCGTCATATGTTAAATTCTTCAAGGACTTGGTCACAAAGAAGAGGTGATTTGAAGATGGAGAAAAAGAGGGTGTGTACGAGGCAGCAAGCGCAATACAACATGACTCTCCCAAGAAAGAACGAGATCCCAGGGGATTTGTGATTAGAATAGCCCTAAAAAATGGAAAACAGGCTTCAAGGATGCTCGACCTCAGAGCTTGAATCAATCTTATCTTCTCTATATTTTAGCGTCTCGGTCTCAGAGATTTGATAGCAACCCGTATATCGCCCCGGTGGATTTTGTCATGTTAGACGTGGAGGACTTGCAAATGAACGGAAAGGATCACACCATCCTTCTTGACAACCGTTTATGGCAACCACCAACACGCCTATCGATGTTAAGCATAGGACATTGAATATGACGGTTTGGTGAGTCTGTATCCATCTACGTTCAGGAAGCCACTTCCACATCTTCAGTGAACTTTGTAGAGGAGTGTGCTTTTGTTGATGTCGTTGATCCATTTGTCAAGGAGATGACCATACGGGATTTGGAGGAGAGGTTAATGCCCGATTTTCGACGATGAAGACGGGCCAACCATTGAGCTCTTGGAAGTCTAAGAACCCCGTTCATTAGCTGCACCGACGCTAGAATTTAAGGAGCTGCCTTGGCATCTCAAGTACGTATTCCTCGACGACAAAGAACAAATACCGATTATCATTTTTGTCGAGCTCTTTCGAGAAGAGGAAAAGGAGTTGATCGATATGCTTAAGAAGAACAAGAAAGCCATCGGGTGGAGTCTGAGAGATATCAAAGACATCAGTCCGTCCACATGCATGCACCGGATAATTCTCGAGGAGGGTGCCAAACCATTTCGGGATAGCCAACGACGGCTCAACCCGACCATGATGGAAGTGATCAAGAAAGAAGTATTGAAACTCTACTCGAAGGGGTTGATTTGTTCGGTGGATGATAGTGAGTGGATCAGTCCTACTCACGTGGTGCCGAAGAAGGGAGGCATCACCGTCATCGAGAATGACAAAAAGGAGTTGCCGGAAGGTATTTATTAAACCAACAAAACAGTCCCCACCCGCGTAACTACCGGGTGGCGTATGTGCATTGACTGCCGGCGACTTAACGTCGTGACGAAAAAGGACTACTTTCCGACTCCGTTGTCGTTCATTGATCAGATCTTCGATGGTCTTCCCGACCATCAATATTGCTTCCTCGACAGACTCTCCGGCTACTACCAAGTGGCCATAAAGCCCGAGGACCAACTGAAGAGGACATTCACGTTCCCATTTGCCTTTGGCAGCTGCTTAGGCTTTGTCTTAGTAAAATTATATATCAATTAAAAAGTTGTCTATAAATCAATTATATATTAATTAAACAATTATTATAAAATAAAATGGATAAATCATACCATTAAAAAGTATCATTCTAAACATAAATAACAATGAATTTTTAAATTTATTAATAAATAAGATAACTTCAATATTATATTTATTAAAAAAATCACTAATTTTTATTATTTTATAACCAAAATATGAAAATTATTTGAACCCGAATTAACCCTAACTCGCGGAGAATTTGTCACGTAGACCCCGTATTTTGCACCCACTTCATATCGGCCGTCGATCATTGATCACTTGTGCCGAAACGGCTAATCTTACGACCAAGATGGCCGACGAGAGTTCCATTAACCGTGCCCTCTAACTCTCCCCCTCTCTCTCCACTCTTTTCGGTGTTAGCCGACGGGCGGTCGTTTCCCTCTCTCCAAGTAACTTGGAAATTGAATAGTCTACTGTGGTTCGATTTTTCCATTAACCCTTCGAGGGAAAAACGAAAAAAGAGACATCCACGAGAAAATTGCCCTAGGGAAATAAGGTAGTTAGTGCTATGTTTGTTGCTCATACAGCAAGTAGCCGCTCTGAATTGATGCTGGGATGATCGTGAGGTTTGTCTGGCTTTTGTTTGAGTTTTCCTTTCCAAATTTGCTTCAGTTTTCTTTTGTTGCGCTGTGTTAGGGCGCGGTATCTTATTTCATTTGACCCTGTTCTCGGATTATGGATGTGAGTATTCTACGTTGCAGCACCTTGCTCTGAATCATTTCTGGGTTTTATTCGTTAAAAAGAATCCTGCCTTCTTATTTAAGCTTCAGATTGAAAGTCTTGTTTGCGGATTTTGTGCTTTGGAGTGCATTTTTTTTCCATCTTTTCTTCTCTATGCAAGTGTGTATTTATAGATTGTAGAAGCATTTCCTCTGAGTGGCTTATTTTGTACAATTTGTTGGATCAGTTTTGTATTAATAGGGAAAAGTGTGTATAATCTTAATGGCCAACTTGAAAAATATATGACTGTTGGTTGAATATATGATTTTCAGATTGATTCCATCTTTGGTTCAAGCTTGAAGATTTTATTTAAAGGAAGTTGAGGATGACCGAAGAACTGAAGCACTCTGCAAATCCATGGATTAATGCAGCGGAGCAGTCCTCAAGAACAGTTAATTTCAGTGAAGGAATGTCTTTGATGTCCCAATCGATGGTGATCGTTGATGGAATTGAAGCCCCTGAAATCTCACGCGCTCAAACTCCCGATGTGGGTGCTCCTGTGGTCGGCAAATTAGGGTTCTCTGAGCGTGCATTTTCTGCAGCTGGTGCAGCATTTCTGTCTGCCATTTTGGTCAACCCGCTTGATGTGGCTAAGGTACATGAATGTCTTTTTTTTTTTTTTATATATATATATTGACTGTTCTATTAGTGATAGTGTGTGTCTGTGTGTGTGTGTGTGTATGTGTATGTGTGTTTATCCATGTCAGGTGCACGGCCAATTCGTCTGAATGTAGTATGAACGCATGAAAGTGGTATTATAATTCTTCATGAATAACTTGCTGAACTAATTAGTTGTTGAATTTATTTTCTCGAATTTATTGACCTTATAACCATTGGTGCCTTTCTGTTATTTGTGTTTTCACCTAGTTCACAAAATATGTTTTGGTTTCTTTGACCTCTTTTTCTTCTTGTTTTATTTTCCTGATTCCTGCTCAACAAAGCTGTATGTGTTTTAATATGAATTTCTCCTTTTGTTGTCCTAATCTTCTATCCGGATGATTTGTCCATTTGATTGTCTTCCAGACAAGATTGCAGGCGCAGGCTGCTGGAACCCCTTACTCGCATCCATTAAGTAATTTTACCAGTCGCATGGCGTTTTTTGGACCTCAGATGGTACTTCTTGGTTCTTCTGTGCCTTTTTTCTTTGTTTCTTTATCTAATTTGCCTCACATGCAAAGTGGAGTGTATATGACGCCTCATTTTGGTTATAACTCGTGACTTTTTTGTTTGTGATTTATTTGCACCATTAGTATAGGTTTATGGCTACTGTAAACTGGTTGTGAATGTTTCCATTTTTTATTGAGGTAAAAAAGTAATTTTTACTTGGCGCAATTTGATGCTAGTTGTTTGCCGATCTGAGGTGTTCTCCCTCGTGCACGCGAGCTGGGGTTCATGGGACAGTATCAATTTGCCCACCTGATTGTTTCCACTACAAGGGGACGCTGGATGTTTTCTATAAAATTGTTCGACAGGTTAGTTGGTGATGGCTGATAGTTATTAGGCTTGAAGTATTTTATTCTTTCCATTGGAACAAAAGTCTCAAGCAATTTTTCCTTCATGTTGTCATCCACTTTCGACTCGCTAGAAATGTGTAGCAATATAAACCCGTTGGTCTTTTGACTTTTCTATCAATAGTATACCTTGAGGCTATCGCTACTTTTAGTATGTTACTTTTAACTTTATTTTTGTTTATTTCGCAGGAAGGGTTGTCTGCACTCTGGAGAGGAACAAATGCTAGCTTAGCTCTTGCGGTCCCCACCGTAAGTCTCAGTGGTTGCTACCAAAATTTTCATGCTTCTGTTACTATCATTGATGGTTTTAGGATTTAATGCATCTGTTTTTCAGATTTTACAAGGTTATAACTTGTTTTGCAAACAGGTCGGAATTTATTTGCCTTGCTATGACATTTTCTGCCACCAATTAGAGGATTTTTCTGCAAGGAATGCTCCAGGATTAACCCCTTATGCGCCTTTAGTGGCTGGTTCACTGGCACGTTCTTTAGCTTGTATAAGTTGCTATCCTATAGAGCTTGCAAGAACGCGCATGCAGGTATTTTATGCATATTAACTTTGTTTTCATTTGTTCGTTGTGTCTTGTTGTTCATAGAGTCTTTGAACTTTCTCGTCGTGATAATCTTCTGTTCAGGCATTTAAGCATGGCTGTGGTAATAAAAGCCCCCCAGGAGTCTGGCGTACTTTAATTGATATTATTTCCCAGGTCAAGAGCACAACCAGCTCCAGTAACAGCTGTAAGTTGGTTGATTGGTCTTTTTAATTGTTCTCTTGTAAGGACATTCACAGAGATATCTGAGCACATAATTCTTGTTTTTTTGGCATTCTAATTGTTGTTAGAATGTAATATATTGGTCATTTCTAGTTAATTTTGGAGGAGATTCTATCCATCTCTTTTCCATGGAACCTTTTGATCACAAACACTGCAGGCATCTCTGTCTTACACGGAAATTTCGATCCTGCACAAAACTGCAGTTCAGTCTTCTCACACAACTGACTGCATGTCCATTTAGGATCAAATATTCAGTTTTCGCATAACAGAAACTACACATTTCTCACACAGACACACTACAAACATTATATACCCACCACCCACAGCTCGCACGTTTGATGCACATAAATACATGTTTTTAACTCACACTAGATAAAACACTTATATTTCTATTGTTTATGTTTGACCATGACAATATATGGTGCAGCCACAAGCTTTCGTATCTTGTGGACAGGCCTTGGGGCCCAGCTTGCTCGTGATGTTCCTTTCTCTGCAATCTGCTGGGCGACCCTCGAACCTGTAAGAAATGTTTCTTTTTATGCATTTCACATCTGATAGTTGTTCTTGTTTATTGAGTAATGAGTAATGCCTTCCAAATTCCTTTGTAGGTAAGGAGGAGGCTTCTAGGTCTTGTTGGAGATGAAGCTAATGCTGTCAGTGTTTTCTCGGCAAATTTTTCTGCTGGTTTTGTTGCTGGGAGCCTTGCTGCTGCCACCACATGCCCATTTGATGTTGTCAAAACACGGAGGCAAATTGAGGTAATTCCTACCCAGTATGAACTTAATTATGATTGGGAATTGTCATAATAATTGTTCTACATGGTTCATGATATTGTCTGTAAATGACAACTGTCAGACTGAAAGAAGCATGATATTTATGTGAAGTTACAGTATTGCACTTAGAATTATCTAATTCAAATAGGTTCTCTCTTTTTGTGAGGGACCATGATGTCCAATATCTGGTCTGTACAGTGGGCTGTTATATTTTGAGTTTCAAATCAAAGATAGTAGAACATTCTGCTAAGATTATTTAATTCCGTACAAAAGCTTTAGATCAGACATATATAAGCTTTTTGGCTGCTGTTACAGATGGGGACATAATAATTTTAGAAACTTTGTTCTCCTGAGCATGCAATGGCCAATGTTATGTTTTTTTCATAAGTTCATCCACGTTGATTTTCTTCCAAATTAAATAGCTGGTGCCTGTTTATAATTTGAATTTTAATGGTTTGACATTATAAATCATTGGTATCTGAGATAAGTTTACTTTTTAGGAGTGAAATTACTTATTTATTATTGTAGTTGGCTTGTTAATATTTTACTATTGTTTAATTCTACAGAAAGATCCTGTCAGAGCGTTGAAGATGACCACGAGGCACACTCTCCTAGAAGTTTGGAGGTTCGTCTGTATTTGAAACTATGAACTGGTGCATAACTATTGTATGGTTGTATAATCCAGTGGATTAACATTTTGCGACTGTCTGATTCCAGTTATTCTTATACCAGTGGATTAAATTTAGGTTTTATTATTTTGATTGTGTTTGTTTTGACATGAAAATTCTCATGTCTATTATGATATGTTCACTTTTTGTTGTTCATTGTTTCGCACCAATGCAAACACCCCATTTCTGGGTTTAACCGTTTATGATCCGAAGTTGCATATGCATTGACATTTGTTTTGTTCTTCAAAGGGGCCGTGATCTTTAAAAATAACTTTGTTCTTCCCCTTCTTCCTTTTAGGTAATTACGCTAGCTTGAATGGTAGCTTATTTTATCGTATTTCAATTTTCACAATTCTTACTTCACCAACAGAGGAGTCTGATATGATATGTACTAATAATTTTTACAGGAGTGGAGGTATTAAAGGCTTGTTTACTGGTGTTGGGCCCCGTGTTGGTCGAGCGGGCCCTTCTGTTGGGATAGTCGTTTCCTTTTATGAAGTCGTGAAGTATGCCCTGAATCATCACTATGCCAGCAATTGATACATAAAAAAAAAAAAAAAATGCCGTACTGTTTTTTTGTCCATGGAAAGCCACGGATGCTAAGAGCTAACTTCAGCTTCGAGATTTTGTCCCTAAGCGCTTGATGCTGATCACTAGGTCTAGTTTTCACAATCTTCATGGTATATTCCATCTCCCAAGTTAATTTTTCTTACATGCCGGAAAATAATTCTCCTCATATGTGATTTTTGTGAGACTGATGATTGATGGATTAGTGGTTACTTGAGTCCATCAAAGATAATTGAGGGGGATTTTGTGGATACTAACTTAATTTGGCCTTTAATGTACTTGCTATTTAAAGTTCTTTCCTACTATGCATGGTCACAAAGTTTTCCGTTCTCTTGTGGCTCTTTATTGTCGTCATGCTTTTATTCTAGCTCGAATTTAATATTTGTTTGTCATCTTTTTATCACTCGAAATGGTTATTTTTGCTGAAGATCCCTGGGTAATCTGGATTGGAAGTTGGCAAAAGCCGGTGAGCTCAGTTTTTGGTAATGAATTGTTCTATCTAGACGAGGTTTGCGAATAAGACTTCGTTTTTATTAGGGAAGCTTGTTTGTTTATAAATTTGAGGCAAGCCTGAACACAAAATTATGCTCGTTTGTTAAACAAACACGAGCCTATTTTTATGCGTTCAAATATTTGCGCACGTTAATTTATTATGTACATGATTTGTTTTGCACGTTAATTTATTATGTACATGATTTGTTTTGTATTCATGTAAAATGTAAAGTATTTTTACTAAGAAACTAGTACGTAGCCCGTGCGATGCATGGGACATAAGTATTAAATGAGTCATTTCCACAGAACTTGTCCGTTAAGTAGCTCGTGCGATTTACGAGAGATATTAAATGAGTGGACCATAGGCTTGTCCGTTCAGGCCTAAAAAATAATAGAGTTTGATCATCTATCTTTTTACATCTTTTCATCAATGTTATTTTTTTTTATCAAAACATTAAACCTGAGTCCGGTAGCGCAAGCCCGTAAATTAATTAATATATTATCTCGCTCACATGTTTATAATAATATTAATTTGATTTCATTATATATATATATATATATATATATATATATTCATTCCTTGATATAAGGAAAATAACAATTTTACGTAATCTTGTTCCTCGTATAATACTCATATTATTTTATTATAAAATTTATTGTAATATAATTTTGTTATTATTATTTATGTAAGTTATAGATGTAGTCTTCTTCTTCTTTTTGTTTTATATAATTAAAATATTTAATGTATGTTCATATTATTTATTAATGTAATTAATTTAAATTATGTAAATAAATTTAAAGTAAAACATTTTATACAAACATTTTACAAAATATACACAAATGTTTTTTTAGAATTTAATTTTTTTATAATAAATAAACATCTTTGAAATTCTATGCAATTATTAAACATCCTTGATATAAATTCGAAATCATAATTGAATTCTATGCAATTATTAATTCTGTCCGATGTTATGAGAAACAAATCATTCGGAAATGATTATATGTAAGTTGAGATAAAATAAAATGTATAAAAAAAATCTGCTTATGATATTTTCCTTTAAATGTTTAAATGAATTTGAAATTCAAATTACAAACCAACCTCCAGTTATTCAAATAATTTTAAAAAAGTTACCAATTGTAGTAAAATGTACCTGACAATATATTATAAATATACATGACGTCAGTAATGTTATGAATCTTTAAGTTCCTAAAATATATATTGTTTAGATATGAAACTAATTAACTTATATGTTAAGAAAATATATATAAATATATGTATTGTACGAAATATACACGAGACAAGTTATTATATTTGTTTATATATTGTTTGTATTGTTTATTATATTTGTATATAAATATATTGTTTATATATTTGTCTGTATTGTACGACAAATTATTATATTTGTTTATATATTGTTTAAATATATATTGTTCAGATATGAAACTAATTAACCTATATGTTAAGATAATATATATAAATATATGTATTGTATGAAATCTTTAACGTGTTTGTTAAATTTTTCCCCTAAAAAATTCAAAATACATTTAAGCATTTTTTGCTTGAAGTTTGAAATTTAAATATGCATCTATATAACAAATCTCATGATTTATGCTAGCATTAAATGCTACTTGATTTTTTATTAAAAAAACATACCAAAAATAGAATGCAATTAATATATTCCCTATTTTTTTGCTTACTATTTTGAAAAATGTTAATTCTTATTATATATATATAGATTATATCTCACTTTATAATTTTTTTATTTTAAAAAATTATAATTTTGGAACTTGTACAATTTCAACTAAATAAGCTTGTTTACTAATCGTGTTTGTTATGCATCGAAAATTAATTCTCACTATATAATTTTAGTGTTTCATTTTTTTTTTCCTGAACCGATAGAGATTTTTATAAAACGCACAACGTGCGAAAAGAAAACTAGCCAAAGGCGGATACAATCAACGGCTGAATAAACTGGGAGGTAGACCCAAAGATCACCTAAAGCCGGACCTAGCGACACTACACAACAAAAACACAAACTAGAGGATCCTAACAGGATAATATCCGAGTGAGAACGATCCCAAAAGGATAATAAAGCACTCACTCGGGAGAAAACAGTGGCAAAAGCCACAAACGAAAAACACAGTCCTACCCAATAGACAAAACAAAACAAACTAAGCAAAAATTACACAAGACAATACAAAAAACAAAAGCGAAAGCCCTTCCCCAATCGGGAGACCACACCAACCACAACAATGGCAGAGTCACGGCCCAAGAGCCCGACCCAAAAACTGTAACTGAGTCGGGGAACCATCGGGCCCAACCCTTGTCCAGCCGAACAACTCCACTGACACCCGGAGACCAAAATGCCTAACCAAACAGTCATCAACAATGGTCCGAGCCTCGAGCTAATTAGTCCAGCCCTTCGAGCATCGTCCCACACCCAGAACCAGGCTCGTCGACAACGACACCGACACCGACAACCAGAACCCCAGCCCTTCGAGTGCCGAACAACGCCCCGAAACTAGGTTCGTCGGCAACGAAATCGACAGCCAAAACCAGAGCCGACCAACGTCCCTTACCAGAGCCGACCAACGCCCCTTACCAGAGCCAACCAACGCCCCGAACCAGAGCCGACGACCGCGACTTCGAGACCGAGAATCATGGCCGAGAAGAACAGCATGGCCGGACAAAGTCTCCATCCCAAACCCTAGATCGGGAAATTGGGGTCGCGTCCCTCACCGAAAGAGCGCCAGAAGCCGCTGCTACGGAGATACCGGAGGAGGGACAGCCGCCCACCACTCACTCCCAGCCTCGAGGCGGAAACCGGAACACGGCGCAACCATCTCCCCAGCGAAAAAGCTCCCTCCTAGCAGCGCATCTTCTCAGAAAAGGGCTGCGAAGCCCAGTTGAGCCACCACCGTGCACTCGTCGGGCTCTACCGGGGAAGGCGACAGAAAACTTTGCAGGAGGGCGACGACGGGATTTTTGGGGGAGAGCTTGGGGTAACGACTATGGATAATTTTAGTATTTTCAAAAGCCGTAATTTTGGAACTTGTACAAATTCAAACTAATCAAACTAAATAAGCTTGTTTACTAAGAGCGTTTGTTAAGTATGATAAATTAATTTATAGCTTATTTGTTAGCTTATATTTTTTTTATTTGTTTAGCTTATAATTTTTATATATATAAATTTTTTTTTTTCTTTTTTCTTTTTATAGAATTAGCCTTTTTAAACATTGACTCTTTTTTTTT